GGGAAGCATCAATGATGCAGATGCTTTTCATACATTCTGGGCCAGTTTTATGGACAATGGCTTGTTTTTGCTGTTAGAGTCAAGTGATGAAATTTACCTAGTACAATTTGACTTGATTGAACACTACACTCCTTTACTTTCACTTATTAATGTTCAAAACCACTTTCAAACTAGCATTCAATTCTATCCAAATTTAACTTTTGATAATTTCAGATATTTAAAATTACACGAATCCTACATATAGGTTATAATGAATGAACAAGCCGGGAATAAAGTCGAATTGCGGCGATTCCCATAGCGTACAACAAAACGAAGCGGCTAACACCGGCGTCTACTTAAGACCAACTGATATCTCCTTTTTAGGCTGGGGTAAGTGCGAAAGCGATGTCCGCGCCCTAATTAACAGGGACATGCGCCCGCGCAGGCGTTAATCACGGCTCGTAGGCGCCCCACTACACAGAGTTGCTTTTAGCGACTGTGTTGTGTAATCTCGGGAATTCCAATTATAATTTCGTTAATGAGATCATTTGGATAACGTATAGGTTTTAGGACCAGGTTTAGTAGCATTTGTTTTGGGTAGGTATCCATTTCAGTAATGGATATTAAAAACTAGCAGGCAAATTTATACAAATTATTAGAACGGTTGATTTAAAATAAAACAAAATGTAATGTCAACCTTATATTGTATTTGATTTTTTTGTCCGCCGGAATGACAGATGTTGAATTCTTTCGGAATCGCAACAAGCCAGTAATATTTTCGTTAAGTTCATAAAGGACATTAAAAATGGTGATATTTTTTCCTCGTGGAAATACCTCGAGGGCTATATTTCAACATCGTGTGACGTGTCGACGTCCCGCAACCTGATTTTGTATGACAGACGATAAAGCACTAACAAAAAAACACCGAAGGCGAGCGCCCGCGAGACAATGCGCGCGGTTTTTCAATGCACACAATCGCGGCGGCCTTAGGAATTTATTGACTCGTATGTTTTAAGGGTTGACGATGTTTAGGCTAAATTTATTCTAGAGTTTAACCTTTCAAGGGTATACGCGATATTTCTTTCACCTGACTGATGTAATTCGCGTTGGACGAGCTGTAATAGACAATTAGGAATACATCACATAAATAGATGGAGCCAATTAGTTTTCATTTCTTATTTAAAAAAAAGTTGCGCAGACCATACAGAATACAGAGTATAGTCGTAAATATCCTAGGGATGCGCATTTGAATGAAAAATATTATAAAATAATTATTTTATAATTATAATCATCATTATCATTATAACAATAAATTAAACTTTCTTTTACTGAAAATTCTCTTATCAGAGCGGATTAAATAATTATACTTAAAATAAACATTTTTGGCAACCCTATTGCATAAGGTATAGCGGGCGCGGTGCAGTGGCGCTGCTACTGGCGAACACGAACCAGTCGCGCAGGTAGCGGATTGATCTCGCACATCAGCTGTCTGTCTGTCTCCAGCATACAGCGTGTCCCATTATCCCACTCACAGTCTTATCTCGACACATCTACCATTTCAACTCATTAACGAGCAACTGAATAAAGTTGGAAAATAAAATTAACTCTTTGGAACAGCTTCAAGGTTATTACAGTCAAAAGAAAAACGTATAAAAACAATATTTGAGTAGCGAAATAATATTAAAGCATTTTAGAATATTAATTAACATCTTATTTGCTATATGTAAACGTAACTAAATTTTATATTTACGTCTCTTTACACAAAACTCGTAAAGCTCTTCACAGTAACAACATGCAATCAATTTCTGGAAAATATCTAAAAATATATGTAGAACATGTTCGAAATTTAAATTGTCACCAACAATCTACCGATGTTTTAATCAACCTGTAGATAAGCGTGCGGGCACGCGAGTGTCTCGGCTTAATGGTATCGCCCTGTATAACTAACACATCCTGTCGCGACGTCGGACAGTCGGACGGACGGTCAGCGCAGTTTGGCACGGCCGATTGTACGGATCACGCATTCTGCTTGCTGGCTTACACAACTGGCATGCTTGTAAAGGCACAATCTAATATGCTCGTTTGCACGGACGGAGATGCGCTGCACGCTCGTTTGTACAGACAAACAGATCCTAAACGCTCGTTTGCGCGGATTGAAAACTTTGATAAGCACGTTTTATGAAACACGTGACAGTCATGAGTGCAAAAATATCTCTAATATCTAAAATACTTTCAGTTAAAATTAAATACTCGATGTCTATTGTAAAATTGCATTGTTATATTGCAAATTTATCCGTTTAGCGTTTAGGAATTAAGATGTGGTACACGTAACCCAAAACAGTAATAAAGGTCGTTGAATGTGTTCGAGTAAATGGGTGTTCAGTGTTGTGTCAAGGAATCCGAACGCCTTCGCCGGTGCTAAGGAAAGGTCATCACGTAATTAAGTGTCCCTTAAGCAATCAAACGTAGAGCGGCCTCTGATTGGCTACAATTTGACTCTGTGGCACATCAAAGACAGAGGCCAAAAGGCGGGTGTCAAATGGAATATTTTAGGGTCATAGCTTTTGATGTTACCGTGTATTGGGATTGCTTACTGGCGATAAATTTTTGATATGTTTTGGTTGTAATACTGCTATGATAATATGACAAAAAAATCTTAATTTATACTCATGTTACAACGAGTAAAGATTTTTATTTTAAGGTTTTTTTTGTGTAATGGAATAACTCAAAAACTACTGGGCTGAATTCAAAAATTCTTTCACTATTATGACGCAACGTTATAGCAAACAAAAATGTTATTTGTTTGCTGCTATTTTTTAATTCTACATGGACGACGTCACGAGCTATAACTAGTTAAAAATAAATCAATGTTAAAACCAAAAATGTACTGTTTTACTAAAATATTATGATGATTATTTGTTTATTTTGCTAATGAAAGTAATCTTTTCTTTTCTTAATAATTTTGAGACGTACCGTCGTCTTAGATCAATGCAGATACTAAAAGACATTTAGACGTACGATCAGCCATCCCTCGGCGCCCGATAATGCTACACTATTTTAAAGGGTCGTTCACACTATCCGTAGATGGTGCGAGGGTTTTACGGATCGTTTTCAGTCGTTTAACTTGTGAAGTTTGAAATTCATTGAAATTTTATATTATAAAAATATGCCTGATTTTTTTGTTTTATGAAAAAAATTATCTTCAGAATAAAATAAAGCACAAGGAATATAGAACTTTCTAATAGGGGACAATTATTATAGATTTTCATTTGTTAAACGTATCTAGTTGGCGATTAAATAGTTCTTTTTATTTTATTTTTAGTTTAAAAAAACATTATGGAGCCTTAATAAATGTAAACGTCAAAATATGGTATCTTTACTAAATTTGTAGCGAAATAAGCACACATTTTCAGTTCTGTCCGGGAATCGAATCAAGTAGGAAGATAAAAGCGCGTTGCGAGCGCACGGAGGCTGCGTCCCTCGGGGCCGACCTCTCATTTACTTATCCATTTCGCGATCGTCCCCAACTGATTTCAGCGCTCTATGTGCTTTATGTACACCTCCCTTGTACACGTGGACTATATATAGACATCCCAATGGACATGCTATTACATTTTATATGAATACGAACACCTTTATGTCCATAATAGCGTGGCCGCGACTCCACTCACGTGGAATTAAAAAAATCAAAAGTAAGTAGCCTATGTGTTCTTCCAGATTATTTTTCCGAATGTCGCACTCTAACAAACATCTATTCGTCTATTTATCCATCTAAAGTGTCACATTTATAATATTAGTAAGAAGTATTTTTTTTTATTAGAATTTGAAAAAGTAATTTAAAAGTCTTCAATTGCAATTAACTTTTGGGCAACACACAAACGTAATAGAAACAAACAATACACAAGTACCGTAATGGTGAATTCTGGCAAACTCCGTCGAACTTTTCCAACAAATGGAAAGTTAGCAAACATCTGCTTATATAAACTATAAATAAATATACACATATTCAAAATTTGTTTTACAACTGTTTACGTGCGTTACAAATAAACTATAATTAAAAATGTAATTTTGTACACATTACTATCCAAATGAATTTCAATTCACAGAAATATGGTAATGAGATAAAACAAAGTTCAAAAAACGCAAACTTCAATTAAGGTATTGTTGCTCTTTAGAATACCACATGTACAAACATACTTGAACATACAGTACATGTATTTAATCTTACCCCAACATCCCCGTAATGTTCTTAACCGACGAGATTAAGAATTATGGCGTCTTATGCCCTACTCGACAACTCATCGGCTATTCGCCGCCGTTACACAACGATCTAACTGAAATTATTTTGGCAAACTTTGCCCAACACAAGTACACCCTCGATATAATAGAAATTACAAAATTAAACCCTATTCTTAGCTGCATAGAGACAAAATTCCATTGCATTCCCGGAAGGTGGTTCAGACACGTGATTAACGAAAACCTGGAAACTGGAAATCATTTGTGAATCTCCGAAAGGGACAGGTGATGTGATATTATGCAAATTCGTCGGGCGAGAGGGAGACGGAACGCGTGTTAAGGTTCAGGCGTCCCGGATAAAATATACCGGGATGAAACGATTTATTACAAAAGCGTTGAGTAGGTACCTACTCAAAATTAATTACACTAAGTTTTGCTTTCATTTCGTGCCATTGTGGAAGATTTCCCTCGTCTTGTCGGCGCATCGGTTTTTATTACGAGCATGACAAAGGGAATTTCTGAAGTAGATATTTATGAGGATTTCGTGATTCTTTTTTATTTTTTTGTTTAAGCGACGTTTTGTTTAATGTCGTCTTTATAATTTGTGAGTTGATTTATACTTGTGACGCATTTTAAGAACTCGCGAAAAAAAATTTAAAACTATGCAATAATGTCTTCACTCTCTATTCTTATTGCATCATATTTTTTACTTTAGCTTAGTGTTAAAATATTTTTAGTAAGAACATTTAACCCTGAACAAGTAATTATTAATATCGGTCATTAACCTCGGCTTACGATATCGCACACTGCAGCGACATCCGGTTCCGGCGCGGTGCCGCGGTCACTTCCGGTGTCCGGCCGCGTGACGTCATAACCGCTGCGAGCGACGCGTTTCCGCAATTGTTATCCATGTTCACCTGTAATATTATAGACTTATTTATATCGGTTGTTGTATACCTACAAATTTGTATTCCATTCCAGAAAAAGATTCTAAATGTGTTTTCTAAAAAATATCACTTTACATTTGTTTCAATTTAAGGTGTTGTTGTGTTCAATAGTTTTGTCTCAATTATTTTCACATAAGATACAAAACGCCTCAGAGTTATGTAAATGAGGCAATAATAAACAGACTTGAGATATGAGGCAGCGATTCGGTCGTCAGTTGCATCGATCTGCGCGGTTTAGATCACGTAATCATCAAACGCAGTGAGCTCGGAGAAAGTATGTAGCGAAGAGGGTGCATTTCATGAATATGTATTAGGGCGGGGGCGGGCGGCGCGCCGTCGGGGAGAGCGGGGGGCGCCGTGTAAATGGAAATTTCAAATAAAAATACCTCAAATATTAACATGAGCTCGATTCGTGTTTTTCCCGCTTTTTTTGTACACGGACGGGACACGTGTGATAACACGCTGGTCAAATTCCACTTTTTCATAACGCAGATTCGCTTTTTGAGTTATGAGTACGGTTTTGTGAGTTGGGGATTTTTATAATCAACTGTGTTTGTGCGATTGTGTTCATAAAATGTTCAGTTTGTGACCTCTAACTGATTGAACCAGAGTTTCCTCGAGTTTTTAGATTATTGAGATTATTTGAAGTAGAATTAAACTAAAATATTTTTTATGTTGCATAGGTCCCTAAATAAACGAGTTCCAAGATGGCGTGACGTCTTCAGAGATATTTCCTTTTATGTATGTAAAAATAACTTGTCTACTTCAACGAAAATGATTCGGAAATAAATTCATCTAAGAATAATTTTATTAAAAAATTATAAGTAGCATTTTTAATCTTTTAACATTTGTGTTTGGTTCACAGTAATAAATAATTTTAATACATATTCCGGGTTAATATTTATATGGTTAACTTAATTATGACATAAAATTAGGCGAATAAATAAGCTTTGTGGCAAAATGTGTTACAATATTACAATCTGCGTTACAAAATGGTGTAATTTACGTTAAACACGCAATAAAATAGTGTTGTGTGAGCTGTTAAATATTCAAAACGTTGACGATAAAAATCGTAAATACGTGGCAACGATTCACATTGGTCCGTCAATGGATTTCTGAGTTTGACAACTCAATTTTCATAATAGTGAAACACTTACGTACTAATTCCAATAATGAAATATGATTATAGTAGTAATAAATGATCTTATCTATACTAATACTAGTTGTCGCCCGCGACTCCGTCCGCGGGGAATCAAGTGAGTGGAGTGAATAGCGTATGTGTTCTTTCTAGACTATTCTCTACATCTATGCCAAATTTTATTGAAATCACTTTAGCCGTTTAGGCTACAAACTCTAACAAACATCCATATATCCATCTAAACTTTTGAATTGAAAATATTACTAGCTTTCACCCGCGAATTCGTCCGCACGGAATTAAAAAAAACAAAAGTGAATAGCCTATCTGTTCTTCCAGACTATCCTCTACATATATGCTAAATTTTATTGAAATCCGTTTAGCCGTTTAGGCTACAAACTCTAACAAACATCCATCCATTTAAACTTTCGCATTTTTAATATTAGTACGACTAGTACTAGTACTAGTATATAATACATTAAAAGGAAATATTTGTATTTTTGAATATGAAATAACTCAAAAACTGGGCCAGTTTTTAATATTCTTTCACCATTAAAAGTTACGTTATCAGTGAGTAAAAGGTTTTTTTATTTTTTATTTTACGCAACGGCTAGTATTGTAATACGCGAATCGTAGTAATAAGTATTCTATTGGCAGTTAATGTGTTCATTTAATTTTCTTTATTCATTTTTAATTGGTTTTAAATGGCTTGATTTGTCAGCTATGAATGGGATACCCAGACAATGCTCGCGTAAGTTTCTGCGTACAATTAATAAAACACTCCATGTAAGGACGGTGTTGTCGACAGGCAGACCGCATTGCGTTGGTTCCGCATCGCTCTGATCAGCGGGTTTTTTGCCACGTCTGCGTTTTATTACCGTTACCAATGTAGGACTTCTGCATTGTTGATGTTCAGTTGTTTCTTGTATACGATTTCGGATGGCTTGTATTGATTGTATTAAACGAAATAATTCAATCTCAACAAAACAATCGATGATCAACTGATCTGTAGTTAGGCAGCGTATTTTTTGGCGGAATTTTTAAGCTACAAGATTCGTTATAGGTGTTATAATATAAAGCATTCGGTGTTGACGTTTTAAAATCAAAATCAAATTTGTTTTTACCCTTAATTTTTAAAAACCCACGAGACACACCGCCGAAGGGTCCTGTCATGGGAGTTTTAATTTTGCAATTTGTCCCCCGTGCATCTCAACCTAACACAGTTGTATGCGACGGACAGATGCGGACGTGCGCTTGTTTAGATGTTATTTTGAGATAAATACTTGTGTTATGTAAATTAATGCAACAAAAAGTCACGTCCTGATTTTTGACTCTGATTTGATGGAATCGATAATCTTTATTTCAATATTCCATTGATTGTTAGGTATTCTTCTAATGTGACAGTTTTGTTGTTTTGGGGTGAACAGGATCGTCTTAAATAGCCTTTCTTTTCGTCTAGTATAATCTTTTAGGTTGGACAACAGTCGTTAGTCGGGTCAGATAAGTTTTGTTAAATTTAAACAATGTTATTGAGGGTTTCGACTGAAACCTTTTATGTGGGATATTTAAAGCGTTTTTAATACATTTTTAATGATGTCAAAAACAATTCCTATGTGATTTCACGCTTATGCACGGAGAAAACAAGACCAATCAATATTAACATCCCTCCATAAGCTTGTCAAAGTTATCTTTTTATCTACAATTAGGATTTCGACACCTCTCTGTGTTGAGAGGGGGGCTGAGGGAAGGGGGTCTCCATCAAAGGCCGACCTCTCATTATGCGACGTTATTGAGTTATCAAGCACCGCGGAGGGAGATTAGTTCATACTTCCATACACAAATCCTATCATACAAGCTGACGCCTTTTGCTAAAAACAAGCTCCAATTTGGTTCACCGCAATATCATTCCACTAGTTCACTCTCGACCTCAACATTTATTTCATTCAACGGAAGTTAAACTTTATACCACTGGTTTAAAGTATAGTTTTGTTCGAACATTATTATAGAGGATAGAACTTTGTCTAAATGTGAATCATTGTCCCCTACACATGGATTCTCTAACAAGGAAGTCGCCAGGGCGTTATTTGCCATTGCAAAGGGATATAATTCCGTCCCTTAATTTAAAACGATCTATAATGAGATGCATGATTTGATTATCTTCCTATTTTCGTTGCGAATGTCATTTGGTTTTTGTTTGGTTAAGCTTTTTCGCAGTTTAATGGCTTTTCTTTAATCCGATGACTATATTAAACAATACTCTTTTCTAATTCTTCATACTTTATCTTAATTTTTTATTATAAAGAAAAACAATAAAAATGTCAATGCGATTGACAAGTCATTGCAATTTTGTCAGTTAACGCCCTCTATTGGTTTGTAATGGTACTTTAAAATACACAATAGATGTCGTTTAGTCTTTAGGAAACTCTCAAGACGCCGTTGTTCGTAGCGGTCAACGTAGATATCTGAATTCCAAACCCTTGCTGGTATCGGGAAGTCCGTCGTAAACTGTTTTGTGAGTTCAAGGTACATTCACAACAAAAGGATGGAATTCTCTTTATCTCGAGCTCTGCTTGAAGGGTTGAGGAATTGGACTTATGTTATATTGGACCTTCTCCATTGGCTTGAATGAATGACAATTGAATGTAAAAATCTTTGATTAAAATTATTATGTATTATTAATAATTTCTCTTCTATAGCTAGGTTATAACTAATTAAATATTCAATCAGTACAAATCTATGAGAGTGGAAGGTAAGCGGACCGAGCGGTGGTGACAAGAAGGCAATTAACAATCAAATTGCGCACCCTCGCTCGCGCCTTTATTGGGCGTGGGCGCGGAGGGCCGCGGTCCCAACGTGCAAATTTCAAATTGTGAACCCTGCATAGGTCGTAGGTAAATAGTGGCCGGTCTGTACCTGCAGGGCTGTGAGACTACGGGGGCGCGCGGGGAGACCGAATTCGTTAGGAGTCACTCGAGCGTTCATTCGTGAACGGGGTCGGCATACCCGCTATGTGCCGTCATAGTAAATATTTGCATACATATCAAATTCGAGTGTTTGGGGGATAAATACGAAAGGATTTTAAAGACAGTCTATATTTGATTTAAGTTTTTTAGATGAGTTAAGCGAATTATTTGTTTGATAGTGCATAGGGTTGTGTTGATATTTCTGTGTTTTGCACGATATTTCACACTCACCCCAACTCGCCGCCCTACTGAAACTCGATACGCCAAGTCTCTTGGTAATTAACTACCGATTTCATTTCTTGATGTATTTTTAAAAGCGTCCGACGGCTTTTTAATGGTTATTTTATGGTGACGGATCGCTTATTAAGTTTTTATGGCGTCGCGAGCAAAGTGACAGATGGCTTGTAGTTTGACACCAGATTCGAGGGTGTCGCGACACATCGCGTCGCCCGGCCTCGCCAGATAAATGGAAACAACTTGTGGTAAATTATTTTTCCTCTAATAATTATTTATTAAGTAGATATACGCGAAGAATCGCAAAGACGTGGTCGTGATATTATTCACAATAATTCGCAATTAGCGATGACATATTATCTATTTACTAGCAGATAATGTTTTGTTAAATAGTACTTAATTGTTTTTCTAAATGAACACAAGTTAGGGTGTAAAATAATTTCTATGAAATTTAGGTTGATTATAATAAAAACTAACAAAACTACGGTTTCATTCAATATTCATACAATCTCTGAAACGTTTATAACTTTAATCATACAGTTCTCACTTAATATATTAATTTCTCATTCCCGAGGGACGCGGGGGTGAATTAAAACAGATGACGCGGCGGAACCGACACGGCTTTATAATTAAAAAGA